AGCACAGGTCTATCCTCAGACTTGAAAAGACTTGGTCTTTGTCTGCTGCCAGTCTTCTATGTCTTGAAGTCACACAAGGTAGGCTAGGTCTTCAGACCTTAAGAACATAGGTCTACCCTCAGACTTAAAGCAGTTGGTCTTTTTCTGCTGCCAGTCTTCTATGTCTTGAAGTCACACAAGGTAGGCTAGTTCTTCAGACCTTAAGAACATAGGTCTATCCTCAGACTTGAAAAGACTTGGTCTTTGTCTGCTGCCAGTCTTCTATGTCTTGAAGTCACACAAGGTAGGCTAGTTCTTCAGACCTTAAGAACATAGGTCTACCCTCAGACTTGAAAAGACTTGGTCTTTGTCTGCTGCCAGTCTTCTATGTCTTGAAGTCACACAAGGTAGGCTAGTTCTTCAGACCTTAAGAACATAGGTCTACCCTCAGACTTAAAGGAGCAGTTGGCCTTTTTCTGCTGCCAGTCTTCTATGTCTTGAAGCCAAAAGAGGTGGGTCTGAAGTCTAAAGAACATAGGTCCTTCATTAGATTTAAAAGGACGAATTGGTCTTTTCTACTGCTGGTTTTCTATGTCTTCAAGTCATACAAGGTGGGTTAGTCCTTCAGATCTGAAGTCTGAAGAACAGAGTTCTGTCCTCAGACTTAAAGGAGCACTTGGTCTTTTTCAACTGCCGGTATTCAATGTCTTGAATCCAAAAAAATGTGGGTCTGAAGAACATAGGTCTATATTTAGATTTAAGGATCACTTGGTCTTTTCTACTGCTGTTCTTCTACATCTTGAAGTCACACAAGGTGGGTTAGTCCTTCAGAGCTGAGGTAGAGACAAAACTACGGGGCAGCGTAATACAAACTAAAGTTGCTTGCTGCCGTGGAAAAGTGATGCAGCCCTGAGCTATCCTTAGCGCTCCAACTACCTGACGGCAAAGGATGAAGCTCATATTTTTAGGACTCCACGCGTCCCCGTTTGATGCTCAGTCCAGTTTTAATCAAACGTAGCATAGTTGGGCATGCTCCTCAAGAACAGGCTCGTTGTGACAAGGTTAAATGTTTTATGAGCAGGGTAAGGTTACTCTATAAAGAAAAAAAGACGACCAATTGTTTGCTGCTGCTGTTCGAAAAGGGAGGGCAGTCCAGCCTTTTTTTTTTTTCCTAAGTCCCTCAGGTCCCTGAACAAAGGCGAAATTGTCTCCAGGAATAAGGGAGAATGTGTTGGTTTATTACTCGGGGTAACTGAAATCAAGCAACGTGCCTCTTGTTTTACTGCCAGGGGCGATATTACAGTTTGATGGAGATGAGCCGGCACAGTCTGCCTAAAGCTGGCCATGTACTAGTAGATTTTGAACGTTTGTAAGAAAAAAAAAAAAAAAAAAAAGGAGTGCATTCAATGACTTGACGAATGTAGATCAACAGTATTTTTAACTTTTTAAATTTTGAAACAAAATGGACTTTCCTGAACCAAAACCATGGAGATCGAGCTGAAGAGTGGGCTTCGCTTGCAGCTCTTGCCTAACACCATTGGTAGTGGTGGCAGGAGATGTGAGGACAGAGAGTGGCTCGTGCAGCGGACAGCCCCAACTGTTGGCTACAGGACACTCTGGACCACCAGACAAGGACCTGAGGCCACAGCCGATTAAAAGACAGGAGCGAAGTCAGGACACAAGCCAAAGGCTGTCAACAGCTGCACAACGCAGTACAGAAATGTAAAGCAGAACCAGGATACAAGCCGAGGTCCGTTCACAGGTGGGCAACGAGGTGCTGAATTAGAAAGTAGAATGTAGAGTCCAAACACAGGCCGAAGTCACAGCAGGAATTCAGAGACAGGTCAAAGGGAAGGCAAATATAGCACATCAGGTCACAGGTAAATCAGGGACTGGCTGAAGACCACACAGCAATCTGTTCATGTCACAATCCAGCTTAAATAGGCTGTATGGTGCCAATACCAGTGCCAAGTGTGCACACGAATACATTTGCGCATGCGTGCTAATGCATGTCTTGCACTGAACCTTTGCGAAGCATGCAATAGTCGTCATTCCAACACATACTGGACTTTTCTTATACACCGTTACCAAATTTTCTTGTTCAGAAAAAAATTTCCATCCTGCTCCTTCAAATTTTCTCATCACAACATTAAGTCAGTTTGCCCCCCCCCCCCCCACACTAGAAAATCGAATGCTCTTGAAATAAAAAAAAATTCTTGCATAATTCTACTAGTTCTCAGGTTTTTTTGGAGACTGAATTTAGTGGTCCTCCGGGATTCCCCTGTATTTTATTACATTCATTCTGCACTCCACCCTCACAAAAGCCCTCCAGGGCCTGCTACAGAGAAACACGCCCACAGAACAATGCTGTCACCACCATGCTTCACGGTGGGGATGGAGCATGATGATGTGCACCGTTTGCCTTATTTGGTCAGTTGGCCCCAAAAAAGTTCTTCTAAAATAACTTTTTCCTTTTTTTTTTTTAATCACAGGTTTTGAGACCGCCCTGCTTGTTCTGGGGGGCAGTGGACAGGACCAAGTTGAGGAGGGTCACGTCCTGCTGATGTTGGCACTCTTCTCAGTCTGCCCTGTAGTCAATGGCAATTACAGCAGGGCTTTCCAGAGGAGCCACATTCAATAAACACCATTGTGATGGATATGGTAAAATCCCGTTTTGGTTTCTTGTTGAATATATACATATTTCTATACATATCTACTTTTATACTTAAGATTTCTAAATGTTTTGTATGATTTTATATATATATATATATATATATATATATATATATATATATTATTTTCTTTTTTGCCTGCTGGGCTTTCTGGTACTTAAAGAAATCCTTGCTCAGCAACCCCTCCCATCGAGTGAACTTGAGAACAAAGGAATATTTTTCTTTCTATAGATAAGACCTCCGTCCAAGATCACGCCTATACTCTGAAGAAGATTGTTTTCGCGTAAAGTGACCAATCAAAGACTAATATAATGCTTATGCTGTTCTCACGTGATGTTCGCATCATTTTGCATATATAAACTCACGTTTTGATTCCAATAAATTAGAAGAAGTTTTCACAGACCAAACGTGTGCGTCAGGAATGGACTCAGCACTGGTGGTGGGACTCACCTGCTGTGTGGGCTGCAGTACCAGGGCTGACCAGCGGGTGCTCTCAGCAACCAGAGGATCACTCCTACAATGAGCCATCACCTGAAACTGATTACGCAGGTGTATCTAAGGAATGGCCAGGCCTGTGTTCAGGGCCTTGGTGTTTGTTTCCCATGAGCCCCTGTACCTGCATCCTGTGTTCCTGTTCTGCTACTATCTGATTTGTTGCCGACCCTGCCTGATCCTGACTTCTCCTGCTTGATCCCTGGCTTGCCTGATCCCCTGTACCGCGCTGCCCGTGAGTTACTGAACCCGGCTTGTGACCCTGACTATTCTCTGCCTGCTCCTCCGGTACCTCGCTGCCCGCACGTTGCTGACCTGGCCTGCGTGACTACGCCTGACGCTTACTTCACCCGACGATCCATCCATCCCGCACAGATCACCTTTGGTAAGTCTGCCTGCCTCTTCCCATCAGACTCCGTTCCCGCACTCCCCTGCCAGTACTCTCTACCACAGCCAGACGCACTCAGGGGTCGCAACCTGGTTCCAGTCTGCACCAAGTCCATCCCCAACATCAGGGGCCCTGGTGAATAGCAGGCTGGGACTTAGACCCCGCGCCCTGAGGAAATCCGTGCTGTGGGCTGCTAGAGACACTGCCAGGTGGCACCTGACAGTACCTTACGGCCTGCCTGACCATTCCACCTCTCCAGCCTGACTACGCCTGTGTTCTTGAAGCCTGCTACTTCCCTGGGTCAGTCCACACATTTCTGGTCATACCCGGATCCCTGACAGTGTGTCAGTGTGAGTTTCTTTATGTGCGCACATTCCAGAGCTAGCTAGCAAGATTAATTAGGACAGGAGCAGATAATCACCGGACTCTTAGTCATCTAAATCACTATTACCCATGCTATCAGGGTCTACACACCTTGCTGAACTACCTGACGGGGCAGGCAATAGCATTGCAAGAGCAGAAAATAACTTTGTCATTGAGTAACCTAGTAGGTTAAAAAAAAAAAAAAAAAAAAAAAAAAAAGGTAAGCCATGTCTATTGCTTATGCTGCCCCACCTTGTTCATTGTGGGCTTTGCACTGCCCAGGTGGTAGGTGGGCCAAAGTCACCTGCTGTCACATGTCATCCTGATGTAAGTACTCTTACCCATCTACCCTGCAGTCAATGACAATGGGATTTTCTGCTCTTGCAATGCTATTGCCTGCCCAGTCAGGTAGTTCAGCTAGGTCCTAGACTGAGCATGCATCATGTGGTGCCAATACTGGTACATGGGCCTACAGATCGCTGTCACTGCAGACAAGCAGCAAGAACTCATTGGCAAGATCAATAGGTATTTGTCAACCATAAAAATATAAATATAGTATTATAAAATAAAATTGAAAAAAAAAAAAAAAAAAAAAGACACACACTGTTAGTAAAATGTATTGTCTATTTCAAGAACGGTCTGCATTGATAAATACAACAGCAGTCCGGCATCTCAGCAGAGACCTCAAACATGTCAGTAGTGACAGGCAATGCTTTAGATGGCATCCATTAAGACCCCTGCTGTTGTGCAAAAGCTAGATGAATGGGGGCTGGACTAGTGTGTGTTGAGCGGGGCTGGCCGGTGTGTAGCCTGGACCTGTGCCTTGAGCAACCGCCATCTTTATTTGCTTTTTATTTTTTTAATGCAACTCCACCTGCCTATGTGGGTACAAATACACACGAGGAAAAAAAAAAGGTTCTTTCAAAATTTTAATATATAAAAACAATTTTCAAAAGCAAAAACTTTAAAATATTATACATTGGTCACAGAAGTAAGTCTGCATGTTAGATGGAAGTGCTGCCATGACACGAACTTGTGTGTGCGGCTTCATACTGTCCACCGATGAAGCTTGTGGAAGAAAAAAACGCATCAAACTGGGAAAACCGCTAAACCACGTGTTTCAAGTTACCTGTTTAAGAAAATAAAATGAATAAATAAAAGTCCACTCTTCTGCATAATGATGATGGGAGGAACTACAAAATGTAAAGAGTAACTCCGCTTTTTGTTGAGAAAATAAGTTCCCTTCTGGGTCATCTATGCACATTGCAGGTATTTTAACTGCTTCCGCGACGCCCTATAGCAGAAGTACTGCTACAGGGTGGCACAGGTGCGCCAAATCACGTATATATACACGTGATTTTGCGTTTCCGGGTAGGTGGCACGTGTGAGGCGGGCGCGCGCCCTACCCGCGCTGCCATTTGCAGCCTCGGCTGTCAATCACCGGGTTCCGGCCGGCGATTACACGCCGGCACCCGGTGACTGCCGAGCATCTCCGACGGGGGTGTGTGTGTACGGGGGAGAACTGTTTGTATACAATACAGTTCTCTCCCCTGTCAGCTCCTGCACACTGCTTTATATGGCTCTGCATAGCACAGCCATACAAAGCAGCGTGCTTACAGTGAAACACAGACACAGCCCACTATGTAAAACAGCACACAATTAACCCTTTGATCGCCCCTCGTGTTAACCCCTTCCTGCCCAGTGCCATTAGTACAGTGTCAGTGCTTTTTATTAGCACTGATCACTGTATTGGTGTCCCTGGGGATGTCAGTGACACCAAAGTTCCGCTCCCCCCCCCAGTGAATGCCCACCGCAGTCCCGCTATAAGTCGCTGATCGCCGCCATTACTAGTACAAAAAGAAAAAAATCCCAGTATATACACCGCCATTTGTAAACGCTATAACTTTCACGTAAACCAATTTACATTTTGGCCTAAATTTACGACGAAATTTGATTTTTAACATTTTTTTACTGGACATGTTTAATAGCAAAAGTCAAAAATATAGGTTTTTTTTTCAAAATTGTCGGTCTTTTTTTTTTTTTTTTTTTTTTTTTTTTTAAATAGCACAAAAAAAAAAAAAAACAAAAAAAAAAAAAAAACGCACAGGTGATCAAATACCACCAAGAGAAAGCTCTCTTAGTGGGGAAAAAAAATTTAATTTGGGTGCAGCGTTACATGACTGCGCAATTGTCAGTTAAAGTAACGCATCGCCGTAATGCAAAAAAATGGCCTGGTCAGGAAGGAGGGTAAAGGCTCAGGAGGGCGAGGGGTTAAACTTTGTTGCAGATTCCTACCTTTTGTTATTCTGAAGAGCTTTTTGGTTGTCTGTGTCCATGTGGGAAGTGAATATAATGGGAGTGTTTTTCAGAATTATCGATCAGCTGCTGCACCTGCAGGGCTCGAATGAGGAATCTAGCAGGGTCTGCATCCCTTTACAGTGATTTCCTATTGGGAGGATCTCACCAATAATGGCATTTCTGTTGCAGGAAAAAAAATTTGACTTTTAACTTGGTGCAGACTTCTGGGAAAAATCAGCGATCCAATCGCACAAGCAGAAATTGGTTTTGCTAGGGGGGGGGGCGTTCTGTACATATTCTGTGTACAGAACACCTCCAGGTAGCCATATTGCATTTTACAGAAAATTACAATATGAATTGCGTTGCTATTGCGTGTGTATGAAAAAAATATATATATATATTTTTTTTTTATTGCAATTTTTTTCCCCACGTAAGTGGAGTTACCCTTTAAGTGTGAAAAAAAAAACTTTACCTTAGAAGAATTCATGCTTTAAAGCTAAATTCCGGGCACACAAATCAAAATAATAATGCAATAGGCATCTGTGTACTGTCCTCTTTAATGCAGGCAATAGACGGGTTAAAAAAAATGGCCAAATTAAAAAAAAAAAAAAAAAAAAAAAACACAATCGGCTGATTTTCGCACCGTTAATGGGTTAATTGGTCGGCCTTTTTTTTGGGGTTTTGGCACAAAAAAAAAATCGGTGAAGTTGGAGAAAAATAGGACGATTTTGCCAGACGATTTTCCCGGCAATGATGGGCAAATCAGCCGATCTTTTTACCGTTAAAAAATCTGCGCATGAGCCGTGGCCTGCAAGAAGAAGAAAAGAAGAAAAACAAGGAAGAAGGAGGAAGAAAGGAGGGGGGAGAAGGCGGGAGAGGAGGAAGGAGGAAGGAGAGGAGAGAGGAGGAGGGAGAGGAGGAGGAGAGGAGGAGGGAGAGGAGGAGGGAGAGGAGGAGGGAGAGGAGGAGGAGAGAGGAGGAGGGAGAGGAGGAGGGAGAGGAGGAGGGAGAGGAGGAGGGAGAGGAGGAGGGAGGAAGGAGGGGGAGGAAGAAAGGAAAAAAAAAAAAAAAAGAGGAAGAAAGGAAAAAAGAGGAAGAAAGGAAAAAAGAGGAAGAAAGGAAAAAAGAGGAAGAAAGGAAAAAAGAGGAAGAAAGGAAAAAAAGAGAAGAAAGAAAAAAAGAGGAAGAAAGGAAAAAAGAGGAAGAAAAGAAAAAAGAGGAAGAAAGGAAAAAAGAAGAGAAGAAAGAAGAAGGAAAAAGAAGAAGAAGAAAGAAAAGAAGAAAAAGAAAGAAGAAGAAGAAAGGAAAAGAAGAAGAAGAAAGGAAAAGAAGAAGAAGAAAGGAAAAGAAGAAGAAGAAAGGAAAAGAAGAAGAAGAAAGAAAAAAAAGGAAGAAGAAGAAAGAATTCCAGTCTGCTATTATATTTGATATGAAAAAGTCTTGCGGTTGCAACACTGTATCTATTTGTATCCAAACAAAAACATCTGTATCTGAAATGGATACAAATAGATACATTGTTGCAACCACAAGACTTTTTCATGTCAAATATAATAGCGGAGCTCTCTGCAGGGACAGAACTAATTAAATGCCGGCTGTAGACGGGACGAAAATCGGCCGATTTTTTTTTTTACCATTGGTGGTAACGTCGGCCGATTGAACGGCCAATTTTGAGTTTTTGGGTTTTTTTTTTAAAAACCGGCCTCAGTACTCCTCTTAAGAACCCCAAGTCCTGTTACAAGCAGTGGGAGGAGTTATGCAAATAACAAAATGCCTTAGAGGGGTGGATGTCAGTCTGGAGAAGAGGGCATTCCTAGGCAGATCGCGTTTGCAAGCAGACTGACCTAGGTAGCATCCACATGTGATGGCGTGCCTCCATGAATGAAAAAAACTGAAATTCAATTAATGAAAGGGTTGGGCCAGGGACAATCAAGTTGGGGAGGAAAGAGCTAGATGATGCTGGATGTCCGTCTATTAGAAAATGAAGCAGGTTGTATCTGACGTGCTTCAGCTTCTAATACACATTGTGAGAAGTTCACAGTGTGTAGTGAAATCAGAGCAAACCAGTTCAGTCCAAGACAGCTCTGCTAGACTGAATGGAAGGTGGAGTTCAGGTTTAAACAAAAATCAGTTAACAATGCAGGAGGCACCTGTGTTCTGTATTTCTAAGGGCACCTGGAAACAAAAAACCAAAACAAACAAAAAAAAAAAAAAAAAAACAAAACAAAAAAAAAAAAAACAAAAAAAACAGTGCCAGCTGTCACCGATATGGCTTTGTTTTATATAAACAAAGCCACATGATCATCATTTCTGTGCCGATTGGCTCCCTATAGTGAAGCCGAGACAGCAGGGTCTCACAGCAGAGCAGTGGGCTCCTACCTGTAAAGTAACAGATTAACATTCCCTCATGCGGCTGTCTCTCAGTCTATGAATGCTCGGTCTCCTTGCACCTATTCAGAGTCCTAGTCCTCACCTTTTATTGAGCCTAGGATCTCCTGTAGTTTCTGAGCATCGTTACGATCAGGTCGGCAGCTCGGTGTGATCTCCAGAACATAATCTGGGCCGAAATCTGTGAAGAACTAAAAATGTATGAAAACAATGTCAGTACATATGGTGCAGTTTCTGTACTCTGTGCCTTCTATGTAAGATACTCTCTACAAGCACTCGGCTTTTTAATGCCTGCCATCTTAACATGGACCTTGTGTCAGGACCTGGATCACCTGCTGGTGGCACGGTCGTTCCCTGGGCGGAGGGTTGTAATTCCAGTGCCCACCAGTGGGCGTCTCCCAGCTAACTCCAGTAATCAGTTTCCGCCTGTTGCTGGCTCCTGGGAGGGTATTTAGAGCCTCCCCTACCAAGCGCATCTTGCTCCACCGTGCTATGGTCTGGGAGATGAATGGGTCTCCCAACAGAGTCCAGCTAGTCAGCAAAGTCCGGACTTTCCTGATTCCCGGGACACTGCCCAGCCAGACTTTGCTGATGGGATACCCAGTCAGCTCCCAGGCCCTGGTGGTTGGGGAAGGGGGGGGTTTGCATGGGCCCGGCTGGACTGTTGGCAGGATACTGAGTCAGCTTATGGACCCCGGCAGGGAGAGGGAAGGTTAGAGAGAGAGGCACTTAAGCAGGCCATACATGGGTCGAATTTTGAATGAAAACATTGTTTGTTCTATAATCCGATGGTGCCACCAATGATTTAAAAAATCGGTCATTTTTCATGAATTTTCCAGAATGCCCGATAAACGAAATGGGTAGGAACCACAAAGATCGGCCGGTGCCATTGCCCCCACTAAAAGAGCGAAAATCAGCCGATTATTCTTAAGTCCGATCTTCGAACGAAAAATCGTTATGGCCGGCCTTAGAAGGGGAGGACCTAAATACTCTCCCAGCAGCCAGCAATAGGTGGAAACTGATTACGGAGGTCTGCTCGGAGACATCCACTGATGGGCACTTGAATTAGAACCCTCCGAGCAGGAAACACAGTGGCACTTACAGGTGATCCAGGTCCTAACACCCTGCATTAAAATGAGAGGTCCGTTTATACAAACAGGCCTTCTAACCCATTTCCCCATTGTTAAAAAAAAAAACAAAAAACAAAAAGAAAAAAAAAAAACAAAGCCTGCTCTAAATTAGGCAGCTGTAGCAGTATAATCCCAAAATAGTCACCACATGGCTGAATCTCAATACACAGAAAACCTTTACTGAATTACGGGGTTATACTTTATGTCTGGAGACTCGCTTACATGTTTCAGCTTTGCGACCAAAGCCATAAACCACGAGGCTGAAACGCGTAAGCAGACGTGGATTTTAACCAAGTACTAAAAAGTTTTCTATGTACGGAGATCCTGCCGCGTGCCAACCATTATGGAACATACTTCGTGTACAGCAGGCTTCCGCACAGCAGAGGGCGATATCATGATCCTTCCACCAAGATCCTGGAACTCAGAAGTACAAAATTTCACAAAAAGACACTACAGATCAGTAAAGGACAGTCTCCTAGCAAGATTTGGGATCCACAGCATTCCTCGTGATCTTGTCGAAAGAATGGTTACATCACCTTCCCACAGGCAGTGAGTGGGAGCCGAGGTAAGGGAATTATACCCTGTTCCAAATTATTATGCAAATTCCATTTAAGTGTCACAAAAATGAAATCTTTTGTTTTTCAGTGTAACTCATGGATGGCATTGTGTGTCAGGGCTCTTTTGATCCCTGAAAACAATCTGGGACACCTGTGATAATTAGATTGGCCAGTGAGCCCAATTGAAGGAAAAACTACTAAAGGAGGGTGTTCCACATTATTAAGCAGAGCACCATTTTCCAGCAATATGGGGAAGAAAAAGGATATCTCTGCTGCTGAAAAGAGTGAAATAGTTCGATGCGTTGGACGAAGTATGAAACATTCGATATTTCACGAAAACTTAAGCGTGATCATCGCACTATGAAGAGATTTGTGGCTGATTCAGAGCACAGACGGGTTGGTGCAGATAAAGGCACATTGAGGAAGATTTCTGCCAGATCCATGCATCGGATCAAGAGAGCAGCTGCTAAAATCCCATTACATAGCAGCAAACAGATATTTGAAGCTGCTGGTGCCTCTGGAGTCCCACGGACATCAAGGTGTAGAGTCCTCCAGAGTCTTGCAACTGTGCATAAACCTTCTATTCGGCCACCACTAACCAATGCTCACAAGCAGAAACGGCTGGATTGGGCAGAAAAATACATGAAGACTAATATTCAAACAGTCCTGTTCACTGATGAGTGCCGTGCAACCCTGGATGGTCCAGATGGATGGAGTGGTGGATGGTTGGTGGACGGCCACCCTGTTCCAACAAGGCTGCGACGTCAGCAAGGCGGTGGTGGAGTCATGTTTTGGGCCGGAATCATGGGAACAGAGCTTGTTGTCCCCAAAGGTGTAAAGATGACCGCTGTAAAGCATGTGGAGTTTATGACTGACCACTTTCTTCCCTGGTACAGAAGGAAGAACTATGCTTTCCGTAATAAAATCATCTTCATACATGACAATGCACCATCTGATGCTGCAAAGAATACCTCTGCATCAATGGCTGCTATGGGGATAAAAGGAGAGAAAGTCATGGGTGTGGCCTCCATCCTCCCCTGACCTCAATCCTATTGAGAACCTTTGGAGCATCCTCAAGCAAAAGATCTATGAGGGTGGGAGGCAGTTTACATCCAAACAGCAGCTCTGGGAGGCTATTCTGACATCTTGCAAACAAATTCAGGCAGAAACTGTCCAAAAACTCCCAAGTTCAATGGATGCAAGACTTGTGATCTGCTATCAGATAAGGGGTCCTATGTTACAATGTAACGTGACCGCTTCAAATGTTTACAAAGTTACAATGTTGTTAAAAGTTTGATTGAAATAGCTTTTGATTTCAGTAAATCTGCTGCAAACACAACAAATGACAATTTTCAGTTCTTTACAACCTAGAAAGTTTTTTGAAACTTCCTGTGCGGAATAATTTGGAACAAAAATCCTGTTATCATTAGGAGGTTTGTTCAATAAAATGTGAATTGTACTCTTATAGTTGTAACCTGAGAATTATGCCGACTGTTATTTACATCAATTATTGAGGGAAATGAGAAAAATATCATTTGCAGAATAATTTGGAACAGGGTGTACATTTTCTTCCTTTTTTTGGCCCACTTGCCTGTGTGGGTTTCCTCCGGGTACTCTGGTTTCCTCCCACACTCCAAAGACATGCTGGTAGGTGAATTGGCTCCTGTCTAAATTGGCCCACAGCAGGAAGCAAGACAAAATCCCTACAAATTGAGGGGGGAAATCTTGTCTTTATTAAAAGGAGAAATCGAAAATGTTGGATTTTTCATCCTTTTCAGTCCTGGTGACTAGGGGTGTACCTACAAGTACTGGGGTCCCATGGCAAAAGTCTGATGCTTCAGAATGGTTTTAGGGATGGTCTGAGAATCAGGCGAGTGCTCACCTCTAGAAAAAAAAAAAAAAAGAGCAGCTGACCCATGCAGTGCAGGCACAACCTCACGACATGGAGGGGGAAAAAAAAAAAAAAAAAAAAAAAAATTGCCCGGAATTGAGCGTTCACCCTGCACACCCACCTCATTCTAACTGCCCTGTGAAAGGAAGATGCTTCTACTTACCTACTCTGAGGGTGCTCTGGTCAGGTCACATGGTCTCTCCCCCTGAAGCCAGTTGCTGGGGAGGAAAGATCGCCAATGGCTGCAATGCCTGAGCTGTGACATCACCCACATGCGTCTGTTGTCCCTCCCCCCCCCCCCCCCCCGAGGCTGGAGCTCGGATTTGATCATGTGACCCAACTGTATTTTTTTTTATTGTAATTTCCAGAGTTCAGTTTCAATAAAAGAACAAAGTATGTCACCAGCAAATCAAGGGTCTCCAGAACCGTTCCAAAGCTTTATTAAGCGATGACGTCATGGTTAACTAAAGTGACTTTTGGAGTCTCGCAGGACCCCCTTTATCAGACATGTGACAAAGGGAGTGGGTCCCATGCCTGATGAAGGGATCCTATGAGACTCCGAAATGTCACTTTAACAAACTCATGCAGACTCCACCTCCGCAACATCGCCAAAATCCGCACGTTCCTAACCCCAGAAACCACTAAACAGCTCATCCACTCCCTCTTCATATCACGACTCGACTACTGCAACTCCCTCCTCACTGGCCTGCCTCGCCACTGGCTATCCCCGCTTCAGTCCATCCTGAATACGGCTGCCAGACTCATTCACCTTTCCAACCGCTCCATCTCCGCCACCCCCCTCTGCCAATCCCTCCACTGGCCTCCACCCCCCTCTGCCAATCCCTCCACTGGCTCCACCCCCCTCTGCCAATCCCTCCACTGGCTCCACCCCCCCTCTGCCAATCCCTCCACTGGCTTCCGATTGCCCAACGGATCAAATTCAAAATCCTAACACTGATGTACAAAGCCGTCCACCATACTGCCCCGAACTACATCACTGACCTAATATCCAAGTACCACCCAACACGCACACTCCACTCCTCACAAGACCTCCTTCTCTCTAGTTCCCTGGTCTCCTCCTCCCATGCCCGCCTCCAGGACTTCTCCAGGGTGTCACCCATCCTCTGGAACTCCCTGCCCAACCCATCAGATTATCACCTACTCTCCTCTCCTTTAGGCGCACCCTGAAAACCCATCTCTTCAGGGAAGCCTACCCCACCCCCTGCTAACTTGCCAACCTCCTCCACTCTTCCTACCACCCCATCCCCCACAGCTATCTCCTCCTGTGCCACCATCCCCTCCCTCCTAGATTGTAAGCTCCAAAGAGCAGGGCCCTCGTACCCCCCTCGTGTTTTGCATTGTATTGGTATTGTTCTGTCACATGTTCTGTCCCCCTTTGTAATGTACAGCGCTGAGCGAACTATTGGTGCTTTATAAATACTGTATAATAATAATAACTATAATGTGATCGCTTAATAAAGTTTCGGAGGTCCTTGGTATGCGGATGACATACTTCTACATACAATAAAAATACGGTCCAGTCACATGGTCAGCTCCCAGCATCGGCTTCAGGGGGAGGAGGAGGGACAACAGATGCCCCAAAGCAAGCTTATGGGTGAGGTCATTGCACAGGCATTGCAGCCACTGGCTCCAGGGGAGAATCATGTGACCAGACCAGAGCACCCTCTGAATAGGTAAGTATGGGTATCTTTTGTAACTATGATGTCATTGACTAACAAAGCTTAGGGACTCTTCTGGAGATCCTTGACGTGCTGGTGACATGCTTCTCACTTTGAACGTCTTCGGGTTTCCAGCCAGTGGTCGCTGCAGCACTCATTTACATTTACAGCCATTTTCAGGAACGTATGCGCTTTGAACAGCTGGAGACTAGCTTCAATGAAAAGTACAGATTTGGCCTCATTCAGACAGGTATATTGATACATCAGGGGCAGACTGACAACTCATGGGGCCCCCGGACAATAGGGGATCATGGGGCCCCTGTGTCCTTGCCCAAACTCAAAAAAGCCTATGAAAAAGGTACCAGGGGCATCTCATGGGGCCCCCCTACTGACCCTGGGCCCTTAGGCTGTGCCCAAGTTTCCAAATGGTCAGTCCGCCCCTGTGATACATACACCAGTGTGTAGGGCTTTCATCACACGCGTGGCATGCACAGGTGTTCCATGCACCCCACCGTGCAGGTAGCCTGTCAAAATCAATGGAGGGCAGTAGCTGCTCGGACCTGCCAGGTTCTTCCATGCGCATCCCGGAGCGTACATCCATGCGGGTCTGCTGCACAGATGGGAACACAGACAGAACCCTAAACCCAACAACAAGCTCTTAAACTTCTCTTCGTTGCCTTCGGAGTCTACCACCCCTAGGACTTCTAATATCAATCCATCATCCTTCGCTCAAATTAAAATGGCAAATGACCTTCTAATTTTCAGAATTATGAAAGAAGCGTTTTATCGACCACTTCCAGCAGGCACCAGGTGAAATTAATACCACTTTGCTATTATGGAAAATTCAGGGGGTTTATTGTCTTAAGAAATACAGTATATGGAGGTCAGCCAGTGGACGTAGAAAGAAGGTAGACTATTGAGAGCCTGGAGAACAAGGAATCAGTGTTGAAGTGAAGAACAGAAGAGTCTTTGTTTCGTAGTGTCTTCTAACAAAACAAGCATTAATGAACTTGGAAAGGGCCGCAGTAATATGGGACTCCTTTTCTATCCCTTAGATCTCCCCCCCACCCTCCCGAAAACTCTGGCCGGGCAGAATGATGTACCTCGTGGTCTGGGATTTCAGATGATAACGTCCGTCCTAGAACGACTGAGGTTAGATATGTCCAACAACGGGCAGTGTTGGGGAGATTGTATCCTCCTACAAGAAAGTCAATGCATTTTCAATTAAATTAGGACTATATAAAAGGTATTTTTAAAAAATAGCAGCGAAAATATATCATTTAAACAAACCCAAAATGCATAGTTTGTCTATTTATTTGCAGCTTCCACCATGCTATCAATATTATATATGGAAAAAACATTGGTGGACAACTGACCATCACACCTATAGGAACTCATTGAACATCCACCCTGGCCATTAATATGGAGTTGTCTCTCCTTTGCAGCTCACATTGGTGGACAACTGACCATCACACCTATAGGAACTTATTGAAGATCCACCATGGCCATTAATATGGAGTTGTCTCTCCTTTGCAGCTCTAACAGCCTCCATTCTTCCTTAGGGTTTTTGTTGGAATTTGTGTCCATGTGAGGCAAGGTACTGATGTTGGATTAGACCTGGCTCACAATTAGCATTCCAGTTAATTCCAAAGGCATTCAATAGGGTTATGATCAGGGCTATATGCAGGACTCTGAGTTCCTTTACTCCAAACTGGTCAAATCATGTCTTTATGAACAGGTCAGGTATGAAGGTTGGTTGAGAACACCTGGCTTAGTGTTCCAGTTCATCCCAAGTGTGTTCAGTAGGGTTGAGGTCAGGGCACTGTGTAGACCACTATTTCTCAGGTAGGGTTCCTCCTAGGTTGCAAGGGGTTCTTTGACCAGTGAGCAATAGTGGATTGATCTCCAACCTACACGCAACATCAATGCAAGGGGACAATTTTCCACTAACCACCAATGTAAGGGGTCCCTTCTACACTGATCACTAATGTTAGAGGATACCTCACTTGGTTCACAGTTGGCATTGCAATTGATCGCAAGGTTTTTCAGTAGGGTAGGTCAGCTATTGATGTTGGATGAGAAGACCTGTCAAAGGTGTTCAGTAGGATTGAGATCAGGTATTGATGTTGGATGAGAAGACCTGATCACAAAAGGTGTTCAGTAGGGTTGAGGTTAGGTACTGATGTTGAATGAGAAGACCTGATCCCAAAGGTGTTCCAGTAGGGTTGAGGTTAATTACTGATGTTGGATGAGAAGACCTGATCCCAAAGGTGTTCAGTAGGGTTGAGGTTAGGTCTGATGTTGGATGAGAAGACCTGATCCCAAAGGTGTTCAGTAGGGTGAGGTTAATTACTGATGTTGGATGAGAAGACCTGATCCCAAAGGTGTTCAGTAGGGTTGAGGTCAGCTACTGATGTTGGATGAGAAGACCTGATCCCAAAGGTGTTCAGTAGGGTGAGGTCAGCTACTGATGTTGGATGAGAAGACCTGATCCCAAAGGTGTTCAGTAGGGTTGAGGTCAGCTACTGATGTTGGATGAGAAGACCTGATCCCCGTAAGGTGAGTCAGTAGGATGTTGGATGAAGACCTGTTAGGTCCGTAGGATTGATGTGATGTTGATGAGAAGCCCTGAGCCCAAAGGTGTTCCGTACGGGTGAGGTCAGGTCTGATGTTGGATGAGAAGATCTGATCCCAAAGGTGTTCCGTACCGGTGAGGTTACTGATGTTGGATGAGAAGACCTGATCCCAAAGGTGTTCCGTAGGATTGAGGTCAGCTACTGATGTTGGATGAGAAGACCTGATCCCAAAGGTGTTTCGTACAGGTGAGGTCAGGGTTCTGTGTAGGACACTTGCTTTCTCCACACAGAACTGGTCAAACCATATCTTTATAGAGCTAGTTTTGTACACAGGGTGTGCAGTGATGCTGGAACAGAAAATGATCTTTACCAAACTGTTACCACAACGTTGGAAGAGCGCCATTTTCTAAAATGTCTTTGCGTCAGGTTTTCCATGAAGAACTTGCACTGGAAAACCTGAACGCAATCATTTGGAGCAATCTCCATTTACTTTTGGCCATATACTAGGTATGAGGGTCAGGTGTCCCCATAAATTTGCCCATATAGTGTATCTGCCAGTGGTTCAGCTTTCCTCAAACAGGGTGACAATGGCAATTCCACTGCAATGTTGTCATCTTGTTCAGTGCTGTAAACATACTAAAAGCAGTGCTGTGTTGTCACCGATGTCAAGGAGGAAAGTTCTGAATGTTGTCAATCACCAAATAACCTCCTCCTCAATGCTGATGAGGGAATCCCTCCCACAGCGCTACTGTGTTCTGCCGGAGGGGGGCATCCCCTGCTGACAGGATTACTGCTAATGGCTATAGCAGCCGACTATAATCGTGTGCAAAAAATCCGACAGGTTGTTTGTACTGAAGGCAATCGATGGTTCGACTTCAATACAACCAGCCTGCCCATAGATGAATAGATGTTGGTCGTTCTGTGCTGAACCAGCCGAGATCCGATCCATCCATTTAGGATCAACACAGGCCCAATGCAGTGACAAGCTGGAATCTTTTCTAATAGGCCCAGTTTACACCATCGCTCCACATTATTGTGCGTCAAGTGGAAATGCTACACGCTGCATTTAGGCTACACCATACTACAGCAC